CAGTCTGCCTTAGTAATGGTGGACTGCCTCTGTAATGGCAGACTGCCTCAGTAATGGCTGAATGTCTCAGTAATGGTGGACGCCCTTCCCCCAACAGAGCTGGACCATACTGAGTGGAAACTCGTGGCACTTTTCAGGCTGGGAATCTCTTGGTCTATGGGCAGTAATAACTCATTTGGAAATGCAGTGTTCACTCACCCTCTGCATTGTTCTCACTGGGAACTGCACTCCAGAGCTGTTCCTATTTGGCCATCTTGGTTCCCCCCCTGCCAATGGTATTAATAAAATGGGCAGAAGCTCATTGAGACTCTGTTCATTCCTTAAAACTACTGCTTCTCCTCCCCATTTGTCCCCTCCCTCTCTGCTCTATTATCCCCACATCATGCTTCCTGACCTCCAGGCATCTCAGTTCGGGTCCTATTGAAGGGCCAAGCAATGGCTCACTGAGTGCTGGTCCCCACCCCCATACAGCACAGCATGACTTCCTGAGGGCAGCGTTGGGGCACTGGTTTGCTCTTGGAGTCACCACACACTGTGCCTAGAGCTGGTCCTCAGAAGGCACTTGGCACAGAGTTTTTGAAATCAGCCTTAACATTCTTTCCTCTTCGTGACCAGCTCAGCAAATCCCTTTCCTTCCCCATGACTGCTCTGTCCTCCTGTGATGGCAACACTGCCTTCCCCTGTGGTCTGGGGCAAAGAACAAGGCTGGAGGAGAAAAAACTCAGTGTGGCCTCTGCTCTGCCACTAACAGCTAGTGTTACTTTGGGCAAGACACAGTCTCTCTGTACCTCATTTCTCTCATTTACTCAATGAGAGCTCAACATATCTGCCCAATTATAAAGCAGTGGTGGCTGTGTGACTATGTTAAAAATAAATAAATAACAACAACAACAACAAGAAAAATGCCGTTAGAAAAAGCTAACAGACACTATACAAAGAAGATATTGCCATCATCTTTCCCTGTTCACATACTCTGAGGGGACATGTGAGGCCAGCCGTTCTTCTGTATTTCCTCTCCCTAACAGTAAAGAAAACCTACTGCTGGGCACGGTGGCTCATGCCTGTAATCTCAGCACTTTAGGAGGCTGAGGCACGTGGATCACAAGGTTAGGAGTTCGAGGCCACCCTGACCAACATGGTGAAACCCTGTCTCTAATAAAAATACAAAAATTAGGCGGGTAAGGTGGCGAGTGCCTGTAATCCCAGCTACTTGGGAGGCTGAAGCAGGAGAACTGCTTAAACCTGGGAGGCGGAGGTTGCAGTGAGCTGAGATTACACAACTACACTCCAGCCTGAGCAACAGAGTGAGACCCTGTTTCAAATTAAAAAAAAAAAAAAAGAAAGAAAGAAAGGAAAAAGAAAACCTACTGCATTCACTATTAGGTGCCTAGGAATAGAAAACCAGCCCTCCTTCTATTAAGTCTTGGAGGACCATAGCAAGGACAATTAGCACAGAAAAATCACCAAAGATTTAGAAGATCACAGTGCTGAAACTCAAGTTCATGCTTTCCTCTCCCAGTAGGATCAGCACACCCTGGAGCCTGCTGGGTGCAAAGAGGGAATCTCACGGTGTTAGAACCAGCCCTACCTCCACAATCACCCACCATGGAATTGATTTCTCCATGGGCTCCAAGCTCTCTACCTGCCTCCCCAGGCTCAGCAGCATCCTACAGTCACATCTCAGGACTCTGAGACTCCGAGACCTGGGCTGGCCTTCAGGAAATCAGCAGTCAGGTCTGCCACTAAACTTTCCGAGGTTATGACACTTGCCCTAGGCCACTGCCACTCTGGATACTTTTATCTCTCTCTTGCCTCTGCCCTGTCAGCATTTTCACAGAGCCACTGACAGCCACTTCTGTGGCATTGCCAGTTGCTTGTGACACACAATTCCTTAAGAATGGGGGATATGTCTTATTGTCATTCCAACTGTCCTAGCACAGTGCCTAGTAGGAGGTATGATAGATGTTGCTTAAGTGAAGGAAGCAGAGGAAAAAGACTTTTATACAAGCCATGCTATCAAAGCATTTAATGTAGGACAGGAGTTCTCAACTGGAGGCAATTTTATCCCCAAGGGAACATTTGGCAATGTCTAAAAACATTTTTAGCTGTCACAATGGTGGGATGCTTGCAGCATCTAGTGGGTAAAGGCCAAGGATGCTTCTCAACATCCTATGATACACCGGACAACACCTCTTGACTCAATAAAGAATTCTCTGACCCAATGTGTTAATGCTGCTGAGATTGAGCAACTCTGATGACAGGAAATGGGTAAAGAGACACAAACTTCCTTCTAGGATGATGTCACTAATAACTGTAATCATATATATTTTATACTCTCATGAACAATTTCTATTATTTCCTCAGATTCTTCCATCGGGATATTTATTTTTATTTTTTTGAGAGACAAAGTCTTGCTCTGTCACCCAAACTGGAGTAGAGCGGCACAATCAGAGCTTGCTGCAGCCTTAAACTTCTAGGTTTAAGCAATTCTCCTGCCTCAGCCTCTGGAGTAGCTGGGATTATAGGCATTCACCACCATGCCCAGCTAATTTAAAAATTTTTTTGCAGAGGTTGGGTTTCGCTGTGTTGCCCAGGCTGGTCTCAAAATCCCTGCCTCAAATGATCCTCCTGCCTTGGCCTCTCAAAGTGTTGCAATTAAAGGCATGGGCTGCCACACCAGGCCCTCACCAGAATTAACAGGTGAGGAAATGAGACACAGAGAATAAAAGGCTAGCTTGTGATTGGCCAAATCAGCAGTGAGCTCAAACTAGAATCCAGGTTTCATGACAAGGTCAGCATTCTTCTCACCTTTTCTCTGTATTGAGAGGAAGATTTTGCTTTTGAAGGCAAGGGAGGGTCTTAGAACAATGGGACCTCAGGACTAGAAAGTCCCCAGCATCTTCTCACTTGAGAGGGGAGACCCAGCAGAGTATCTGTCTCACTGCAGGGCCACGCTCTGATGAGGGAAGGGCCCAAGGCCAAATCTAGTCTGGCCAACCTGGTATGGAGCCCCCACCTCTTCTCCCCTGGGCCCTGCACATCACTCTGCCCTTCACACAGAATCTGAGTCTTTCATGCATGCTACGCTTCTAATAGCCTCTTCTCTTCTGAAGTCAACTGATGCCACCCGGGGGAATTCCTAAGCATGTCTCAGAGATTTGGAGGAAGGGAAGAGCCAGCAAGCGGCACACTGCAAAGAAAACTGATCACATTCTGTCTCCCTAACCTTTTGCACACAGAGCCTTTCTGAATGGAATCCCAGCTTTATTCAATGGCAGGACTGTAGGAGGCAGTTCAGATATTCAGTGTGAGAGTCAAAATTGCCAAAGTAAGTTATTTCACAGAAAGAAATTATACTAGGCCCAAAAGAGAAATAATTCCTGGGGACGAAAGATGGGAATAAGGTGCTTAGAAACCTTCTCTGGCCGAGGGAACAACATGCATGAAGGCCCCGGGTAATAGCTGAAGAGGCTGCAGAGCTGAGATAGAGGCTCTTTTTTATAGATTTGAGGTGGTATTCCAGGCAAGAAAAGAGGATCTGTAACAAGGTGAGTAAGGAAGAGAAAAGGGAGACCAGGGTGAGGAACTTGCATGTAGGCTCCATGGGACTCTGACATCAATTAGACATTGGGAAGTAAAGGAGATGAAAGAATCAAGGGTTAAACTGTGCTGCATGGTGGCCACTGGCACCTCTGGGTATCTGAAATCAATTAAAATGAAATAAAATTAAGAATTCAGCTCCTCAGTCACACTAGACATGTATCAAGCACTCAATAGCCACGTGTGACAAGTGGCTCCCACACTGGGTAAGTCAGATGACAGCACATACCCATCATCACAGGGATTCCCCCCGCACCGCAGGTTAGAGAGACTCTCAGGCTTCTAGTCTGAGAGATCAGATCTGGTGGGTGGATGAAGTATCAGGAAATGTTATGCCTCTTACTACAATAGAGACCAATTAAAGAGGAAACCATTCTTGGGGGGTGGCGGGAGATGAAGAGTGTGGTCTCAGGCATGCTGAATGCGAGGTGGACAATGAAGCTGTAGTAGGCTTGCACAAACACTTGTCTGGAAATTAGCAGAAACCAAAGATGTACAAAGATCATGAAGAGGTCTACGGACTTGGGGCCCGGTGCAGTGGATCATGCCTGTAATCTCAGCACTTTGAGAGGACAAGGAGGGTGAATCACGAGGTCAGGAGTTCGAGACCAGCCTGACCAACATGGTGAAATCCCATCTCTACTAAAAATACAAAAAAATTAGTCAGGCATGGTGGTGCAGCCTGTAATCCCAGCTACTCTGGAGGCTGAGGCAGGAGAATGGCTTGAACCCAGAGGTGGAGGTTGCAGTGGGTTGAGATCGCACCACTGTACTCCAGCCTAGAGGACAGAGCAAGACTTTGTCTAAAAAAAAAAAGAGTTCTACAGACTAGGGTAAGGTCAGCCACATGAGCATGGGCAGAACTGGAACAAGGTTTCAAGGTGACGGTAGAAGCAAAAGTTGGATCAGAGTAGGCTGAAAAGTGAGAAGGGGAGCAAGTGTGGATAATTCTGGAAACTCAGCAGCAGAGAGGAATGTGAGAAACAGGATCATGTGCATGTCCAATCATTTGACACATCAAGTGAGGCCTTGCTTCTTCAACACAAGAAAAGCCTTTCCTGACCACTCCAGCGATCTTTCCAAGTCTGAATTGAACACTTGCTGTGAGATGCACTCACGGCTGCATTTAACGTTTTCTATTTGATTCAAGCATGCACATTCCTGACCACCACTTTAAGCTGCATGGGATCAGGGAACTGCATTTTTTCTCGAGTCCTCCTGGATGGCAGACAGGTGGCACTCAGCAAGTAAACATGTAAACATGTAAGCTGTCTGGGGAGTGTAAGTCCAGTTAGTCATCATGCTGAAGGCCACAGACCCCCAAGCAAGGCCTGGCCCACCCTGTTCCACTGGAACCTCTGAGGCTGGGCTGGACAAGCTAATGCCCAGCAGGCACTTACTGGAAGGGGAGCTTCTCATCGTTGGGCTTGATGCAGCGCACGTAGTGAGGCGTCGTGGCATTCAGGGTCTCCATGAGCAGATGCAGGGAGGTACGGAACTAGAGAGACAAAAGCCGGTGCTTGTTTTTTTTTTTTTTTAACAATGTGTAGATACATGATAAAGAAAAACTCATATGGGTGGTGGTAGTTATTGTTACCATTATTATTATTACTAATCCAGAAGGACAGAAGAAATTCAGAGACCTGGGGGAAGATTCCAGTTCTGACACTGCTCTCTTGCTGTGACCAAAATCAAGTCCTTCCTATAAAAGGGCTCCTCAAATTACATGGAGAGAGCCTGCCCCCTAATGTGCCTAACTCCCAGTGCTGTGGATCAAATAAGATGAAAGGTGGGCAAATACTATATGACTCATTTGTTCATTGTGCACTGGAAGCCTGCTCTTCCTAAACCCGAGGGCCTGGGGCCTGACACCTGATGCCCAGGCGTCCTGGAAATAATTTGTCATACTAAACGTCCAGAATGGCAAACCCATAGGAATAATGGTTGTTTAGTAGATGGTGGCTGCCAGGGACTTGGCAAGCATTCTCTTCTCTTCTCTCCAGAGACACACTGGGCATAACAGCCACAGGGACCCCACAGCAGAAGAAGTTGCTTTTAGTCTCCAGATCCAAAGGTTCCTTAAGCATCCTCTTTAACCTATAAATTCCAGGCCCTCTTGCCTCCTGCACTAGCTGTCTGTGGCCCTGCAGCACAGCCCACCGCAGGCGTTAATAAACTTATGGGGGATACGGTCAGCCCCTTCCCTCCTCCCTCTGTTAGTTCCCTGTGGTGAAGGTTTTGGAATTTCCCTCTTCTAAGGACACAAGATTGAGCTGGGTGGCAGAGGCTGCTGATGTCAAGGCTGCTGTGATGGCTTCCCTCTGACCCTGCTGCCATCCTTCATCTACAGAGAGCCCAGCCCTGCACGTGCACCTTGGCCCACAGCTTTTCATTCGGGGCTGACCTGGTGACCAACGGTTTTCTTGTGCTCCTTGTTGGAGACTTTCATGGGGGGTCTGGCAGAGCGGATGTTGATCTTTGAAGATGACCCCTTCCCAGGGGTGGTGGCAGGAATGGGGTCCTTGTCATCATGAAACAAATCAGCCACTAGTGGGAACTAGAAACAATCACAGAAAGTATGATGAAGGAGATCTCAGCGTACATGTTTCCTTTCAAAGCTTCTTTTCAATACATAGCTGAGAACTGAAAACACAGGCCCACGCCAAAACCCGCCCACCAATGTGCACAGCAGTGTTACTCCCAAGAGCCACAAAATAGGAACAACCCAAATATCAACCGATGAATGGATAAACAAATATGGTATATCAATACAATGGATTATTATTCAACATTATTAATATATTCAACAATATAAAGAAATGACCTTCTGATCCATGCCACGACATGGCCATACCTCAAATAAATTATACCAAGTGAAAGAAGTCAGACACAAATGATCATATAGTGTGTGATTCCATTTACATGAAATATCCAGGGAATAGAAAGTAAATTATTAGTTTCCAGGGGTTGGGGAAGAAAGGGGAAGAGCAAGAGGAAGGGGAAGAAGAAGGGGAAGGGGAAGAAGAGAAGGAAGAAGGGTGACTGCTAATGGGGACAGGATTTCTCTGTGGAGTAATAAAAATATTCCCAGACTTATAGCGATGATGGTTGCATAAACCGGTGAATATACTGAAACCCAGTGAATTGTGTGCTTCAAAACAGTAAATTTTATAATGTATGAATTATGAATGACAATTCAATTTTTTAAATGGTAGGAAAAATGGTAGTAGCTTTCCCACACAATCTTACTTGACCTTCACCTACAAAGACAGGCAGAACTTCATTTCCGTGGTGTGGGAGGAGGTGGCTATACTTTAACACAACTACATTTTAAGTTCTATTTTTCTACATTATTGCATCTTGTCACGTTAACTTCCCTGATACCTGTTTTCTCATCAGGAGAATAAGGATAAGCCTATGCTTGTTGTATGGGGTTGCTCTGAGTACTAAATAAGAGGTTAATGTCTTCATCTGTAACAAGGTGAAGATGCAGGCCTTGGACGAGGTGCTGGTGACAGGGTCCCAGCCATCAAGACGTTCAGTCTGACAGGAACACAGTCCTGCCATCATCCCTTTGGGAAGTCAATGCTGGGGCTAGAATAAAGTATTACGTATTGCGAGGCTTTTATCACACTCCTGCAGGGGTGGGGGAAAGGAGGGAGGGAAAAGGAACACACAGGCTCCATTCGCTAACCCTGAGCCACTTCCAATCTCAACAGAAAGGAGGCTAAACGCTAGTGCCTCAAATGCTAGGCTCTGCTCCTTCTCACCTACCCTGTGCCCTCTTCCTTTAACCCCCATTTAAATTCATGGCCCCCCTCTCCTGCCACTGTGTCTAGTTCTCCACTAGAATTCCCTAGTCTAGTGTCTGAGGAATCCCTGATCGGATTCCACTCACCCCTCTCAGACAATACCTTGCAAAGCCTTTCAGCTGGTTATGTTGCTGTCCCACAGGCACCATGCTCACTACTCCTGGCTCTATACCTTTGCTTACTGTGCTATTCTTACCTGAAATGCCCCCACCCCTTTCTCTTCTGTACTTATCCTGAGAGGCCCCTCTCTCAAGGTTGAGCCCTGCCCCTCCCCCCAGAGCATCCATCACTCCTGTCTGTGTCTCCCACGGGCTCTGACTGTGATGCCCCTGGACCCATGCCCTCCGAGGTCTGTGCTGAGTCCTGAGCTCTACACTTGCCAAGACTTCCCTTTCTATAGAGAATGAGGGCTGAGCAGAGAAGTAATGACAGAATCCACGTAAGCATGTAGAAGAGTGCCCAGCATATAGGGCTCAGACATTATCTAGTTTTATTACTTTTGCTAGGGATTAGATATATGAATAATCTTTCTAAATCGTGTAAGTACAGATGCTTGAGAAAGTTGTATTTTTGGTCTGAAGAAGAAACAACATAGAATTTTAGATGTGGAACTGTAAAGATCAACTTTCACCTCCACTGGCAGGTGAGGATATAGGAGCTTGGGGAGAAGCGATGTACTAGAATCCTGCACCAATCTCTGTTCCCTTTACCACCAAGCACAGTGGCCAGCACCAGCTCCCAAAGGGATGCTAATCAATAGCTGAGGGACTAGAACCTTGGCCTCTGGATGCCCAGGTTGGAGCTTATTTCAAAACATAAATATAGCCTTGTCATTTACACCCACAATATCAAGGAAGGAGAAATATATAAGGGCTTCAGACATAGTCTCGATTTTTGAGGTACCTGCAATAACAATTAAATACACAAGGTAACGCTTCCACGAAACAGTTCTCCAGCTGACACCATCTCCTAAGACTCGCAGGAGATTAAGGCTAAGGCAAGCTACCTACTGAAGATACAACATCATCTTCATGTACAGCTACAGGTCCTATATAGCAGTGACAGCTCATGTTCTGGTGACGCTTTGCTCTGCCAAGACCTTCAGAAAATTAAGTTCCAGTTAAATGGAGTATTTACTGAGCACCTACAAATGCTTTCATACCAACAGCTTGGAAAGAAAGAATCATGTAAGAATCGGTCCAAAATTCACAAAATAATTCACTATTCTGGGTGTATCCAAAAAGTCCTAGAAGCATATCAAAACAAGGCAACGCATATGAGCTTTTTCACTTGATAGTCTACGGTGCGCCCCAGCTCATCTCCCTCCTGAAGTCAGAGACACATGACAGTAGTCATGATGTCACATTAACACATTAGAGTGTCCAGACACAGTGGCAAGATGGTGCTGGTGGCACACTAGAACTGTTCTCAGAACCTGTCAGATTCAGGTGACTTAGCACACTCAAAGGCACTTTCCACAACCTTATTAGGTATCTTTATGTTGGAGTTGCAGGGTGATGGGGTTTGGGGTGTAAAACACATGGTGACCATCCCTTTCCCATGGGGCTTCTTGCAAGCTGACCTCACTTAGGGCAGGCAGAAGACCATCAGCAACTACCCAAGTCACGTCCAAGGAGAAAGTGAAGATTAGACTCTTCGGTCAGTGAGCACCCCGCAGTCCGATGACTCAGTATTCTCACATGTCAAAGTAACTCATATCACTTCTAGGCCTTTTGGCTAAGATCAGGCATAAAGCAACTTGTATGAATTCCACAGACCCAGAGGTTTCTTTTCAGCAAGCTTAAGCCTCACTTTATGCAGGAATACTTCATAAACACAGTGGATTAGTATGAAGGTGCCCACCTGCACATACATACAAGGTTATGATGCCCAATGCTTAAAATGGCACCAAATGCTGGTAAAAATTATACGCTAATCTTCTACATCAAGCATTTTAAACAAAAAACATACAAAAACAATTCGTTCCTCTTACCTCACTCTTAGTTACTACAAGTTTGTAAGATTCAGGAGTTTCAATTTTAGAGTTGAGTAATTAACACAAGTCAGCGTTTTATGTAGCACAGGAGCTAGCAGAATGGGTTATAAAGCAGTGAAACAACTGTGTGTGTACATGTGCACCTCCATGCACAACCGTGCTGGAATCAATGTGGGTCAGTTTCACTTTTCCCTTGCACTCCTCATTTTTCACACACATACCATTAGAAGCACCCAATTTCCATTTTCCACCAGAGTGATCTGCATGCATATAAATGCTGCAGTGGCTTCGTTCCCTGGCCTGGGTTCTAAGTTCAGTCTAAAAACACCAATCAATGATCTTAAGGCCATCTCTGGTGAGCAGCCCAAGCCAATTCTCACTGCTGGCTATTCTGTGGCTACAATAAGCTACTGTCACCATGATTAGCACTAGAGAATGCTACCTGAGCAAAGCACACCTCGAATCCCTGCCTCAGGGCCTGTAAGGGATAATCCTATTCGTAATATGCAGAGCCTCAGGGCCTGGAAGGGGTAATCCTATTCACAACATGCAGAGCTCCATGGAAAAAGATGAAGAGACAAATCCCTGGCTAAGGATACTGATGATATTGTTGTCAGGCAGGTACCCTGGAGGGTCCCCCAGTGAGATCACGAAGGGTGCCCCTAATTGTTAGCTGCCAACAGGTGACAATTCTGTTCCTATTCTCAGCATCTTTGACATAAATCCTCCTCTTCATGCATGGCATTTCAAAGTCATAAATATTGTCTTTTTAGATGGGAAGGTAACTAGTAGGCTGTCAGAAATAAGAAAAAAACACAATTTAAGAGCTGTGGCTAAAATCTGTATGCCAACATCATAAAGAATGATAGTTTTATTAGGTACTCAATTCCATGTGCAGTGAAAGAAGATAAAGTAAATAGGAGGTCACTGACTGTCAAGAAACTAGACTGACTAGTTTGTTCATTCATTCATTCATTCATCCACACATTAATCCATCAACACTGACTGACTCTCAAATATACAACAAATGGTGTGCTAGGGACTGGTAATACAAAAATGTTATAGAACAAGCCTAGCCTCTTCTATACCATGGAATTTATGGTCTAGCATGGTAGGTGAGTGCTAACGAAAATAACCCACAATTAAAAACATAATGACAAGAACATGAATATCCTAAAGGAAATAAACAACAAAGATGTGACTGAATCAGAGGTCTGGGTGAAAGAAATGAAGAAAGGATTCTCTTAGGGAGGGAAGTCTGAACTGCAGGGCATTGAATGGAGAGGACAGCATGTCATGGGGTGGAAGTGATAGCACCTTTGAAGGAGCTCCACGTTTTCAGGGCTGAGATAAAGCTGGTCAACCGACAACGTACACAGTGAGAAGGAAGGATGAGGGACCAGCTCATGCAGGCCTCAGTTAAGAATTTTTATTTTTATCCTAAGAGCAACGGGAATCCATTAAAGGGTTAAAATAATAGGGGCTAATATTTACTGAGCACATCAACTATGTCTGGCACACATGAACTCGTCCAAGCCTCCCAATAACCACGTGGTGTAAGCACCACTGCACTCCATTTTGCAGATGAGGAAACTGAGACTTAGGGACCAAGATCACAGAGATGTATGTAGCAAAGTCAGGATTTGAACCCTGACAGCCCGGCTCCAGAGCCCAAGCAACAATGCACCACAGAGAGCGGCAATGACTAGAAGCAGTGATGGCAGTTCTTCCAAAACAGATCCCTGGCTG